TTCGGACAGTAGTCGATTTAAAAAGCTAAGAATCGAATGAATCGCGATTTCTATAGCGATTCAATGCTTTCAAAATATATACACATTAAATTACTACAAGCACGAATTAATGGAGATCTTGAACAGTGTTCGTGCCCTCGCATCTCTCCTTCACGCGCTCCACTATTTACCGCCTGTGACTGTCACAGGATTGCGCTCGCGCTCCGTTCGTCTCACTGACACATTTTTTGAGCAGCTGATGTGTGATCTCTCCTTAGTACTCGTGGCCAGTAATGCTAAAGTGAAGTAGTTTTACTTTTCTGTAGTTTTTCGATGCTCTCGGCATCTTACCGACGACATTACCTGAGCAGTCGAAAGCTGCGTATTTATTGCATGGACGGAGGAAAATTGAAGTGTCTAAAAGCATACACACAGTTCTACTGAATGATAAATGTGTTTTAACAATGTTGTTGAACCGAATGTACGAAGGAAACCGTTCAAATAACCACAGCATTAACAACAACCTTGAAATAAGAGCGCAAGGTTTATCTGATAATCAGATGCATGAAAGTAGCGTTTGTTGCTATAGCAAACAGACGTGTTTTCTTTCAGAATCATCATTCGCCGATTGAGAGGAAAAGTTCAATACTATAGCATTTTATTTTATGAAAATGAGATAAAGAAGTTTTCGCACTGAAAGAGAATTGATCTCGCGCTCATAGAACTTAAGACATGCCAGGCTATATCTGCAGCTAAACTGTATACAAAGCAGAATGAACTGAAACGTTAAGACAATAAGCACAATAAATAAATAAAATTTATGAATGATGCAGTGCTAATTGACATATCATTTATTACAGTACAGAAACTATAAAGTATATTTTCTGCCTTATTCTGTGATAAAAATGGAAAAAAATTGTTTGTAGTATATAACCCAATCATAAAATTGAAGTGTATTTGATTTCTTATAGCAAATTCAAAGTAATAGATATGAAAAGAATTCCTTGTAAAAAAATTAATAAATTATAATTATAATTATAATAAAACATACATACATAAAATTATTGTATTTGACATGTCTGTCACTTCTGAAATGATGGCTACACCCCTGGTGTGACAAAATTTTAGCCTATACATAATACTTTTAATACTTTTGCTCTTTTTTAAAATCTTGGCTTACATACATTTTTACGTATGCCATGTCATAATAATAATTAATAATAATAATAATAAAAAGTGTGTTTTTTTTCTTTCTCTAACCTATGGTTCTCTAACCATAAAGTCTGCTGTGTAATTTGCCCCCAGACTAAGCATCTAAATAATCTAGGGGAAGCATTTAAATAATCCTGTGAATGCACTTAAAGAATGCAGAATCGAATCGTTATAATCGAATCGAATCGAATTTAATTGTGAATCTAATCGAATTGAATCGTTCTAAATTTGCAAAAATCGTTCTTGAATCGAATCGAAAACCTATGAATCGTGAATCGAATCGCTGTCTACCCAACGATTCACAGCCCTAGTAATAACTCTCAGAAAACGGTTCGTTTGGATCTGAGGTGCCAGGTGATGTCACCCGTGCACAGTCGTTTGCATAAACACTGCCTCCAGAGCAAGACATCGACATAGGCCCCGCCCACTGGCGTTCAGTCACTTAGCGGCTGACACTTGATTACACTGAATGCGAGTGTCGTGTCGCATCAAAAGCAAATAGAAATTACAATCACTGCCGCTATCTTGTCTATACTGGATACAATATACAGATGCGCTTTTCTGACACAGTCCACATGCATGAGTCTGTCGTCAATACAACAAATTGAGTGAATGAACTTTCGCTTTGACTCATTTGGTTTAAACACCTCGTTCGCATCTTTGTACAGATATCAGAAGGATCCCAGCGTAAGGAATAAGTGGATGGTTTATTTTTAATGGCATCCCTACGGTGACCGAGAAGTGCAAAACAAATCACAATTCTGAAAACAAAATAACAAATTACAAATGCATATAAATCATCAGCTCCAGTGGCGCAGATAGATAAGCGTGCGTCATTGGCTTTTTGACGCGATCGACCCGGGTTCAATCCCGTCTTTTGCCGAACTTTTTTTTTCTCTCTTTTCAAATCTCGTATTAGCAATGGATTCTATTTACACTAAGTGAAAATAGCAGTATTTTTTAGCAATATGCTATTTACACTAAGTGCAAATACCTATTTACACTATGTTAAAATAGCAGGATTTCTACTATCAAGTATACTACTTGTTGCAAATAGTGGCAATTATCTGCACTTCAGTAT